TCCCAGCACTTGGGAGGCAGATCTCTGTGAGTTCAAGGCCAGCCTAGTCTACAGAATGAGCTCCTGAACAGGCAGGACTGATAGAGCAACCCTGTCAAAAAAAAACTGGGGGTAGGGAGTACAAGGGACACGGATGGGGATGGGGACGATACGCACAGATACACACACAATATGAAACAGACAACTGAACTGGGGTAAAGACAGAAAGTGAGCAAGGTTAAAAAAAAGTGTGAATGGAAAACCACAATACCACCATAAACATAACTCTATGTTGGGATCATAAGCGTGGCTCATGCTTAAAGGTCAGAGATTTCAAAAACATACAGAAATATAGATGAGGTGGGCTGCCACTGATTGGAAGAGCACTTGCCTCGGAAACACTAAACTCACCAGCACTGGGGGAAGGGGCAAGTCTGTGTCACAGGAGCAGTAAGTCGGCTTCCAAAATGTTCTTGTGTCATCTTTGCATGTGAAAAAATTTGAATAGTCATTCAAACGACATCACATTGCATATTCTGATTTGTCTCGGGCTGGGCATCTCAAAGAGCAGATGTTTTGGTGTAGGCCGTGCGGCAGCATGATTGTCATAAGCTAGCATTTATTCCCTCACAAGCCTCAGGGGGTAAGAAATTGTTTATTGGCTCCATTTTACAGCTAAGGATAATGAAGTTTAGAAAGGCTAAGAAATTTGGCCAGAAGGCAGGTTTGGTAACTCATGCTTGAAATACCAACAATTGGGAAGCAAAGGCATGAGGACTGCCTCTAAGTTCTAGTCTAGCCTGGGCTACAGAATGGAACAGAGCGGGCCTTGGGCAGCGAAGCAAAGCTAATGAAGTACAGGGAACCGTCACGAACCCGGTGTTCTCCATCTTCACTAACAGCCAGCAAGGAGAGGGAGCAATACCCAATCAAGCTCCCTGAAACACTGCAGCACAGACAGATGTAGGGGGCTTGCTGGGATTATGTATGAGCTCATGAGGGCACATACATGTCAGGCATGATACAAGTGTGTGGCGGTGCAGAGCTGACATCAGGTGTCTACCTTAATCAAGCTCCACCGTATTGATTAAATCAGGGTCTGTCACTGAGCCCTGAGCTGGATAAGCCTGCTTGCTCCAGGAATCCCCTTTCTCTGCCTCCAAGTGCTGGAAGAGATGTTGATTTTACATCTAGCAAAGAGGGTCCCCGAGCCTATCAAGTCTGCCACTGTATCATTATCGACAAGCTAGAAGAACCTACGGCGGCTCGCTACTGAGAGTGTTGCTCAAACATGTTTGCACTCAGGAAGCCCTAGCGTGGCCCAATGGGTCATCCAAAACACTGAGCCAGCTTTCTCAAAGGGAAAAAATTTGGCTGCGCACCGTAACTTGTACACTTGTAGGGATGAGGCAGGAAGCTCTGAGAACATGACAATACAAAGAAAAGGCAATTAAGTCTCTTTAATCCCCAAAAATGTAGACACATCAGAAAGCCACATTCAAATAGGAGACATGCTTCATAACAAAAGGAGTTTCTGCCATTTTCTAAAACTGCAGCACACGTGGAAGGAAATGCAAATGTGTTCAAGCAAGCTCAAAGCAGTCTTTTTCTGAGGCCGTTCTTTAGGAAATTAATCTTGCACAGGCATGGATTCCCTGCCTCAATCACAAACACATACACATAACCTTTCTAGGTCAAGGACCAGTAATTCCTAAGATAAGTCCCTCCTAGATCTGTCACACACAGGCTCAGTTGCACTATAATACCCATCAGCAGTTCCTGTCTGTCTTCCTCACGGGACAATTGGGGGATGCCCGTGGAAGGGCTTGGGGGATGCCGGTGGAAGGGCTTTTTAGAACAAGATATCATGAAACAGAGAGCATTTAGCTGGTGCTGTCTCAGAACTACTCTACCTATATGCAGAAATCTAACTTGGAAAACTCACGGACCTGCTCCTTACAGTGTGTTTTTACTTCTGATGAGGACAGCTTTATCCACAAGAGGAACCGATTTCACACGTCTTAAGTTCTGAGTAGAGACCAAGTCTATCACTTGGATCACATCTAATTCTTTTTGGATCTTTGCCTGTTTCTACATTTTTTGTCATATTCTACACATTGTTGTTATTATAGGAGTAACTACCAGGAAAGATAAGGGTTGTCACAAAAAGCCTCTAAAATATGTTTGGAGAATATTCTTAATGTATTTTTTTTTTCTTTAGGGCACTAAGACAGGGTTCTCAAGTAGCTCATGCTGGCCTGGAACTCCTGATGTGAACCCTTAGGAACAACTTTGAACCCCTGATCCCTGCTGGCTCCACTACATGCAGCCAAGAAAAAGGTTGGTTTTCGGGGGACAGAAGGGATGAGGACTTAGGGGCATAGCCCAGTAGCAGAAAGCTGTGTACTAAGCTGCCACTTCCATTCCCAGGCACACACAAAAGAGGGGAGAGGTGTTACTGATTCCAGCTGACTTGGAATTATATGACTTTTTGGCTATAGGATACATGCTTCCTTTTCTGAAATGAGGTAGGAGTATTTCCCTTACTGTTCAAGGGAGACTGAATCAAAATACCAAACAAGCAGGCTGTAGCAACAAAAACCTTTAAGCCCAAAGCTCAGGAGGCCAAGGCCAGCCCAGTCTACAGAGCCAGTTCCAGGGCAGATGGAGATACACAGTGAGACCTTGTCTAAGAAAATAAAACAAAAACAGACTCACTAAACAGAGCCCCAAGACATCACTGGTTTGTAACGCCCTAGTATGTGTGAAGTCCACCCCATTGAGCTGAGAGATAAATAAATAAACCATAACCTTGGCTTACAGATGGCTCAGCTTCTGATCCAAGAACTCTGCCTGCACAAGAGGAAATGAATTTCTAATTATCAATTCTAGAGATAAGTGAGTGATGTCACCATTTTCAAATATACATATTATAAATTCGGATTACGAACCCAAAGGTTAAAGTTAACAGTGACAACATAGGCCAGGAATGGTGGAAAAACACCTACAATCCCGCCAAATGGAAGCCAGTTGAGTGAGCGATCTAGCAACCTTGCCTCAAAAAAAAAAAAAAAAAAAGACAAAAATAAAAAACATTGCTACATATAAATCATGAATTAACCTGATTTCCTGTACAACAACCAAAATAGTTTTATGTCTCTCCTTTGTTTTAACATATACCCTGGCTTCCCTTCATTAAATTTCACATGAACTAAGAGATAGCACCTACCTACCAAATATGGTTTCCTAGGCAACGAGGATTCACAAGAATATAGCTCAACCCAGCACACAGCACCCCATCCTATGGCTATTACCACTGTTCTACACACAATTAAATCAAAGGAAATTCCAAGCTTCAAAGTTACAAACTTTAAAAGTCACTGCTAGAAAAACAACACGGGCTACCAGTCCTGTGGTTTACCAGGAAGCAGTACTGCTTTTAATTAGTAAGATATTTTCCAGAAACAAATTTCATCACATTTTAAAACCCTCTCCAACAAGTTAATGCACACTATAACAGTCCAACATGAGGACTACAGACGAAGCTCAGTGGTAGAGCACTTGCCTAGGAGTCTGAGTCCCAACAAAAAATACACACGTAAACATGTTTTCATTTGAAAAGCCCTTCCTTGAAGGAAGTGTAATAATTTTCCAAGTTATACATAAAAATCATTTTGAATCCACTATTTCTTCTATACTTAGCCAACAAGCATGCCTTAAAATTCAAAGTCTTTTGTCTAACAAGTTTCTTCCCCACAACATATGGGTCCCTTTAATCTACTCAGAACCCTTCTAGCAAGAACCGAAACTAAAACTCATGAAAGCCCCAAGTGTCAGGTACTGTTCTAAGCTCGTGTTTTAAGTATGTTAAAAATAATAATAATAATAATTCAACAAAAAAAAAATTAAATGAGCCTTATATAAACCCCACAACTTATTGGTGTCATCAAAATAAAGCAGATGACGTGAATAATCCTCTCCCGTTATTGCTCAAATCTAAAACAAGCCCAATCAGTTTAAAGGAGGAAAAAAAATCTAATTTGGCTAATTTGTTTGTTTGAAGAAAAAGAGGAACTTCCTCTTGGTAATTCCTAAGGAAATGTACTGCAAAAAAGAAAAAAAGAAAAAAGAGAAAAAGAAACCTAAAACGAAATCACACCAAACAAATTCTGGGTGTGAAGAACCCTAACTTGCAAGTGTTTTGTTGTTGTTGTTTTAATCCTAGATTTTCGGGATTTGTCTTTTATTATTATTATCATTATTGTTACTTCCTTCCTCCTAAGAATTTTTCGTCTTTAAATACACCGGCTCGGGAAAATATTCCCAGGCCGGCCACCGCTCACCTACGGCATTAATTTCATTCACTCAGACTTCTTCACACGTTTATAAAGACAACAGCACCAACTCAATCAAGCCTTCGGATAACGAACGCACAGAGGAGCGCAGGCTGCCCCAGCCAGGGGCATCCTGTTCGCGGGCAGCAGCGGGGTCCGCGGTCTTTACGCTCTGGGACGGGAGTTGTCCCTCGGCTGGGCTGGGCTGGGCTGGGCTGGGGGGATGCGGGAAGATCGGAGGCTGGGATGGGGATGGGGATGGGGACGGGGATGGGGACGGGGACGGGGATCGGGATGGGGATGCGGACGGGGATCGGGACGGGGACGGGGATGGGGATGGGGACGGGGATCGGGACGGGGACGGGAATGGGGATCTAGATGGGGACGGAGACCGGAATGGGGATCTAGATGGGGACGGAGACGGGAATGGGGATCTAGATGGGGACGGGGATCGGGACAGGGATGGGGATCGGGATCGGGACAGGGATGGGGACAGGGATGGGGATCGGGATGGGGAGGAGGAGGGGGAGGGCAGCGCCGCCGCCCGGGCTGCGGGGTCCGCGGAGGGGAGCACGGAACCCGGGAGCAGCGCCCGGGCAGGGGCGGGCAGGGGCAGCCGCGGCCCCGGGGCGGGCGACGCTGACGCGGCGGCCTCTGGAAGGAAGCGCGGCCCCCGCCCGGCCTCACCTGCAGGGTCACCTCGCGGGGGTCCCAGCGCGGCCGCAGGTGGCGCAGCAGGCTCAGGGCGCCGTCGCGGCAGCGCTGCTCCTCCTGGTCCTGCACCGTCACGTCGAGCTTCGGCACCTCGGGCGAGCCGGGCGGGACGTGGATGTAATTGGCCATTGCCCAGGCGACGGCGGACACGACCACGACGACCACGGCGACGGCGACCACGAGCGCGGCGGGCGCCGGCAGGCTGCTGGACCCTTCCGTCCCGGGGCGCCCTCGGCGGAGGGCTGCGGGCGGCGGGGCGGCGGGGCGGCGGGGGCGGCGGGGCGGGCGGCAGGGGCGCGCAGTGCGGCGACGCGACGCGGGGACGGCCGGCCGCTCTCGGGAAGATGCCTCAGTGCTCTCGGCCGCGGGCAGCCGCGGAGCATGCCGGGACTGGCCTGACGCTGGCGTCACGCCGGGGGGCGGAGCCTCGGCTGCGTCAGGCGGCCGGCCGGCCGGGGGGCGAACCCCGCGGCACAATGGGGACCCGGGCGGGCCGCGGGGGCTCTCGGGGGCTGCGGTCTCCGGGAGCGCGCGCTGCCGGGCGCTCCGCTACTGTCGGGGGGCCAGGCTGGGCTCCTGCGCCCGAAGGAGCCCGAGTGGTGCCGAGCGCCGCCGGAGCTCCGACAAGCCTTGCCGAACTCTGCCGAGCCCCGCCGGAGCTCTGACAAGCCTTGCCGAACTTTTCCGAGCCCTGCCGGAGCTCAGACGAGCCTTCCCCGAGCCCTACCGGGGCTCTACGGAACTCAGCCGAGCCCTGCCGGAGTACTGCCGAGCTTTGCCGAGCCCTGCCGAACTCTGCTGATGCCCTGTGGAGCGCGTTACCCAGCCCTGCCAGGCGTTAAACAGAGCGTCACCGTTCCAGATCAATAGGGTCGAGGGCTCTGGCCGTACTTAGAGCTGAGGTTCTTACGGGTGCAGAAGGCATGTCCCGAAACAACCCTAAAGTCAGGCTGTGAGCTTGTCCACAATCCGGCCAAGCTGGATTAACGTGGTCGCCTTATTCCTGAAGCTGCGTACACGAAACACACATGCTGGGCTTTAGCAACCAAATTCCCTAGGGCGGTACAGAGAGACCACAGCATTTGGGACAAGTCGGTAAAATAAGAGTGAACCGACGACCGTGGTGTGATGACGCACACCTGTTATCCCAGCTGGCAGGAGGCTAAGGCAGGGGGATTGCCACGAGTTCGAAGCCAGCCTGGGTTATAAATATATATATAGTGAGTGCTACTTAGCCGTCAAACGGGGTAAGACTTCTGCAACACTTATTTTAAGGGTCAGGAACTTGACCTTGCTGAGAACTATTCAAGGCTCGTAAAAACAAGGTAGAGACTGGGAGAGAGATGCAGAGGACAGACAAGCAGTAGGCCCTGGGCCTCGCGCGGACACACGAAACCTCTAGTGTCCCTTAGAAACTCCGCTCTCGGCCTGTTAGAGGGATGTCGGAAACCGGATCATCTGCAAGTATTTGGTGTGCACTTCCCGCTTGCCTTTTATGACGGAAACAAAGGAGGCCAGTTCGTCTCACCTCGGCTTCTGGCTTCCCTGGGGCTGAGAACAGAGTGAACAGCCATTTGTTTGTGAACAGTCAAGATGTTTTATTAGCTGTTAGTATGCACTTATGTTCCCATTGTTCCGAATGAGCCTACTTACCTTTAATACGTCAGGGGGAAAGATAAACTCCCTAAACTAAAAAGGAATCCACTTTCCCATTTTTGCAACATAGTAAATTTACTGAGCATTTTCCAGACTTAGGTATGTTTTTTTTAAAAATCACTATGGAAGGCCCTGCTTTCAGTACCCTGTGCACACGCATACACACACACACACACACACACACACACACACACACACACACGAAAGAAAGGAGAAACACTAGATTATGCATTCCATTTAGTTGAGGATAAAATGACGGAACACACTAACAGTTCCAACATTTTAAGTAGTGCCTCTTGGATGTTTTTATTAAAACCATGAGATTTTAAAAATATATATATGGAAAATTTTTATAACTAAAACAAATTTCAACAACTTTACAGTTAAAAATAAAACTTTAAAAATCATTTTAAAATTCTGGCATGGTGGCACATACTTGTAATCCCAGTGCTCGGGAGGAGATGCAGAGGGATCAGGGAATCAAACCAGTCTCTGCTACATAGTGAGACTATACATGAACCTATTTCAAAATTTAATAAATAAATAAACCTTTTCTTTTTCGATCAGGCTGGGCTTAAACTCACAGAGATCTTCCTGCCTCCGCCCCTTGAGTTCTGAGATTAAAGGCACACACCATGACTGCCCAGCCGAAAACCAATTCATACTGACTTAAATCCACAAATACAATCAATTCCTATCAAGACCCAAGTAGGTTACTTATGGGCATCAAGAAACCAATTGCCAGGACTAAAGAAAAGGCTCAGAGGTTAAGAACTCTTACTGCTCTGTGAGGATCTCTACATGGAAACACACAATTAAATCTGTTTTGAAACTGAAACTGCCGCTAAATGCAAAGATAGAGACCAATAACCCAAAGGATATTTTTTAGAAAGCTAAAAGACAGACAATACACAGCTACAAGATTCTGTGTACAGTAATAGTAACCCAGACAAGGTATTGTTAAATGAATAGAGAAATGGAATCGGAGTGGGGAGACAGACCGTGCTTAACAAAGAAAGGGTAATCTTTCCAGTAGCTAGTGGTGGACAGGTGGGCTCATCCCTATAGAAAGAACTCTGGATGCAGACTTAACAACCTTCACATAGCAGGGCCGTGGTGGCACACGCCTTTTATCCCAGCACTTGGGAGGCAGAAGCAGGTGGATCTCTGTGAGTTGGAGGCCACCCAGGTCTACTGAGTGACAGGTTCCAAAACTATAGAGAAACCCTGTCTCAAAAACAAACAACAACAACAACAAAAACTTCACAAAAATTAACTGACTGGGTCATTGATCTAAAGATGACACACAAGATTTATAACAGATTGTGAGGCCTTGGATTGGTCCCCAGCACTACAGAATATAAGTTTACATGAGTATTTGCATATGTCTGTGTTTACATGTCTGTGTACATGCCTATGAATATGTGTGTGCACATGTGTCAGCACATGCCAGTGTGTGCATTCATGTCTATGTACGTGTATGAGCACATGCATGTGTGTGTGTGTGCTTGTATGTGCTCTTAGAAAGTATTAGAATAGAAAATCTAGGCATTTTGGGATTGAAAGTGACATTTTAGATGTAAGAGATCAAAATCAGAATCCATGAAAAAGCAAACTAATATTCAAAAGCACATTTCATGAAAGAAATATTGTTATGTTGTACTTCATTACAACAGAAAGCTTTTACTCTACAAATCTCATTGAGACAGTGAAAAGGTGGGTCTCAGATTAAGAGAAAATATGTGCAGAACATACATCTAATAAAATGCTTGTCTCCAAAATACCCTGTGCACTCTTAAAACTCTACAGAAGGCTGGGGACAGGCTACAGTAATGATGGAGCACTTGCCAAGCATAAGTGACATCCTGAATTCAGCCCTCAAATTCCCAGCAAACTTCATAGGAAAACAAACCCATTCGTTTCTCTCTCTCACTTGTTCTCACTCATTCTATCAGCTATCTATCATATGCCTACCATCTGTCTATCATCTGTCATCTATCTATCTGTAGAAGAATTCTCCCTATTCAGCCCTAACTGACCGGGAATTCACTGGGTAGACCATGCTAGCAGAGATCCACTGTCCTCAGGATCCTGAGTGCTGAGATTTAAAACATGTGATACCTAGGAAAAACTCACCCTTTGGATGTGCAGAGGAATGTATCAAACACTTACCAAGAAGATACATACGGGACAAGCAAACTGAGAGTATGTGCTACATCCTAGTCACTAAGGACTGTAACTTTAAACAATGGAAAACAACTAAAAAATCCCAAGTCTGAAAAGACCACATGCCAGTGGAACAGGCGGCATGGTCCATCAAAGGTAGGATGGCACCAGTTACGCTCCTTGATACTTACTTACATGAGCTGGAAAGCTGTCCACATAACCCAATTATATGTGCTTATAGAACCTTTATGCATAAGTTGGAAAGCAACCAAGATGCCCTTCAGTGAATGGAAAGAAGGGAGGGAGGGAGGGAGGGAGAGAGAGAGAGAGAGAGAGAGAGAGCATGCTACATCCATGAAATAAAACTGTCAGCTGGCAGACTGTTTAGCCTCTGCCTTTTCTTTGTAACCACATTGGTTTTGGTTTTCCCCCCCTGGTTTCTTAGTCACATCTACTCAGTTCATCAGGAAGCTCTTACAGTTTGTCCCCAGATGCTGTTCTCGCTGCTTCCATACTACAAAAATCTGTGGCATCTGTCGCTTGCTTTGTTTGAGGCAGTCTCACTGTGTAGCCCTACTGGGTGGGGCTGATCTTTACCTTGCAAGTTGTCCTGCTACCTCTGTCCCTGCCTCCTATCAGACTGGATACATTGTAACTTGTCATAGAGTCAGTGTGTTTACCAGTGAGTTCATCTTTTGTACTAGAAATTTGGCCCCAGGGGGGGAAAAAGGTACATCTTATCTTATCTGTTGCCACATTTCCTCAGCTTAAAATAGTAGCCAGGACATGAATGATGCTAATCAACCTGTAAACCAATCTAGTTAGCTCTTGAAACTCTGACAGCCTGCTGTAAAAACAGCCTCTGAGAGAGGTTATATTATCAGATCCCCCAGAGGTTATAGGATGGCTAGCCTACTCATCTTTGGGCTGGTCTTAGTTCCAGTGTGTCAGTAAACCTCATAAGACAGTTGTCAAACATGCATTATTAGGAAGCATCCAGTTCACACCAGTTGCTTCGTGTATGTAGCATGGCACAGGCCTCCCATTCTGGAAATCACACCCAGGTCCTCCTCTGTTCCCTGAAATCTTACTCATTCCTTCTCACTTCAAGGACCATGCTCCAGCAAAGTTCGTCATGAGGCTTATTCTGGTTCTTCTGTGGCAAACCTATTTCTTCCCTTTTAGATTGCTGTTGCTGTTGATGGTGGTGGTGTCAAGGGCATCCTAGGCAAATGCAGGAGGAGTTACCTATAATCCTGGCCTCTTTTGTTGCTTTGAATTGTTTTTGTTACATTGTATTTATTTTGTGAGGGGAAAGTGCTCGTAGCAGAGGACAAATTGTAGATGCCTGTCCTCTTCTTCTCCGGTGTGGATCCTAGGGATTGGGGATTGAATTCCATTCATAAAGTAAGTACCTTTGCCTGCTGAACCATATTGCT